GATGAAAAATGTAATCAGTTAATCACTTAAGACCTTTATGACTTTAAAGCACTCAAGTATGCAGGTTGCAGCCTTTTAAATATGAGGAACATATCTCTGGAAAATGCTAATTTCAGACTCCTGATGCTTCTCTCAAATTTTAGGAAGCGATCAAGTCATGACCAGTATACAGCATCCATAGAACTGTTAGTGTACATATGGGCATGTGAGTATTGCTTTGAGACAGACGTGAAAAAATGTGAACCTGTCATTTAGACCAGATATCCAAGGCCCAAATCCAGCTGATAGAGAAGTTTGCATAGAGTATGGTGCATGTGAAGGTTTATTTTTAATTTGTGTGTTCTGAGGAATGACAAAGCTGAGTTTTGGAAATGTCCCTCGTCTCTGTAGTTTGTGGTGGCAGTGGGCTTCCTGCTGGTGGTGGTGCTGGCCTTCACCTACCCCCAGAGTGCCCCCCAGCTGGGTCTGGTCAACCTGGGTTGTTACAGCTGGTCGTCCCCCCTCAGCCATGTCCGACTGCTCTCCCTGCCCATTGCCAAGAAGTACAACCTGCAAGGTAGGAAATGTGATGTGGTGTTTCCAGTTTCTCTCACAAACCCACACACATACAACACAGTTTTGCACTAAGGAGAAAGTATGAAAAAACTGAATGGTCTAATACTTAAAATCGTGGAGTTTTGTGTCAAATGTACATCTATTCTTTAACATCTCCTTAAAGTATTTACTATACATGTACTGCAAAACACTGCCACAACCTGTGGGTTAACAGTCTTTGAACATCTCCCACCAACAGCCTGGATGCCTCAAGACAAAAAATACTTTCAAAAGCATCATGATTTACACAAAATTTTGTACAGACATTTATGGATCCCAGAGAAGCATCCTATGTTTTCTGTGGTCACAGCTTGTCTTCTAGTCCCACCATCAGGCTGAAATGTTTTGTTTTTTTATTGAAACATCTTGACAACTATTGGATGGCTTGCTGTGAAATTTGGAACAGACCTTTTTGGTCCCCAGACAATTATTTATAAGAACGTCTGATCAACTGGCTTTTCCTTTAGCCCTAGTAAGCCTGTGTGTGTGTGCTGCAGGTTTCCATGAATGGTGGAGTGCTGGTTCTCTCAGGCAGAGTCTGGTCAACTGTTCAGGCTGTGCAGAGATCTCTTCTGTGCTTGAGGTCCCAGAGAGCCTCAGTGGGACCGTGACTCTGCGACGAGGGCCACAGCTCGTCCTGCTGATTTGAGGTGAAAAGAAAACATAAAAAAGTTTAAATGCACAGCATTTTAAAATTTCTTTTGACTTTTACATTTTAGCGTTAAAGGGGAGGGGCCTGTGTTTTTTCCTGTTATATTTCCCAGTAATCTTCTGAATGTCCATCCAAATATAAACACGGTGTTTATGAGAAATCAGGGTTTTTCTGCTGTCAGTTTGGTGAATGGCTCTAAATACTACGATACCCATGGGCCTCGGCTGCTGTTGCAGTGGAGAAGAAGATGGTCAGAGGTGTAAATCTGAGCTGTAGTGACTTCAGAACATTTAAACTCATTACTATTTTCGCAGCCTATGTTCATATTTTGTATCCCAAACTGATCCAGAATCAGAAAATAAACTGATTTAAACTGCTGACATTTTTATCAAATTCTTGCAAACGTTAAAGATGTAGAGTAATGAGCCAAACACAATGAACAGTTCAACATGTTTGGAAATACATTTGTCCTATTGTCTAGGATCAGATGAGATGAATGATCACTGGGTTTATGACACCCCAGGTGCTTTCTGGACCTCATTGTGTTTTCCTTCCTCATTAGCAGCTGCTTGTTTCACTTCATCTCTTTAAAAAATAAACTTTGAGGAACTTGTACGTTGCTGGAAAGAGATGATCCATCACAGTTCATGCCACATCTGATTTCACTGTAGAATTATTAAGGACTTTTAAAAATCTGTTGATTTAGTATGGAATATAGAAAATCATACCAGTGATACATGATACCTGTCCCCGTTCCAGCTGCTCCCCGCTTGTTTGTACTGATTTCAGATTGTTCATACTGGTCTCTGCAGGGTGGGGAGTCCCTCAGCATCCAGCGGCACCAGCTCGAGGAGCTCTACTTGGCCCATTCAGGCTCCATGTCCATTCTGCTGGAGGAGGACGATGGTATGCAGAACCACAACCTCGGCCTCCCTCAAGGACCCGCCAATTTCACCCTGCTCTGGTACACAACTATGTTCAAAAACGGTCTTAAACGGCACAGGATTCACAGCAAAAAACTATTTAATGTGGGTGTCATTTAGCTCCATTTGATCTTCTAAATAATGCGCAGATACACACCGTACCTGTGTGATCCTAAACCCCGAGTACTTGCATCAAGTGGACACAATGGTATTTATCGATTGTGAGTGTGTGTTGTGTTATTTCTGTAGGAGGTTCAGCTCTGGGACCAGGGAGAAGGTGTTGAGGTGGCTCTTCCCAAAGGCTGAGCTATGCCCCCTGCTGGACAGCGCTGGGACTATTCTGCAGCGTTGCCTGGTCACCCACAGCACAAACTCTCAGAGCAAGGTGAGTTCAGCTAAGTTCACATGTCCTGATGTCTCCACACTGAGAGACTGGAGGGCTAAATAGGCCTGAGTGCAGTGTTACAGTAATGGACAGGAGTGACAGACAAAACTATGAAAGTAAGAACTAAATTGTAATAAACCAGTAACATTCTTTAAGAATAAAGTACATGGAAAAAAACAAAACAAGCTCAACACAGTTCCTCTGAATCCTCACCCTCTGCTGTAACTTGGCATTGTCTGTGTTTCAGGGTGTCGGTGTGTTGGGCTGGCTGGTGGTGGGCGAGGGGCTGCCAACAGTCCGAGTACTGCCTGTTCAACGCTGTCAGAAACACTGCAGCTCCTTCAACCTGTGGCTGACACCTGGAGACATGGGTAATGCCCGCTGTTTTGGTTTCTATCCACAAACGCACACAACATGTCAACAAGAGAAAATGATGACTGTCAAAAAGTGTGAACACGGGCTAAGCATTGCTGACACCGACCACACTTTTAATTATTAAATACATTTTTCTCTCCCATATTCTCATGTACATAAATGACTATCTTATGCATATCATAATGATGTGCACATAAATATTATGCACAAAAGATAACTTGCTTGCATTATCCTGTGTGAGCATGAAAAAAGGTGAAACAAATATATGATTTGAGCTGTTTACCTGCTGTCCGTTTTCCAGGTTGCTATAATCAAACATTTGAACGGGACATGGTTGTTGAAGTTGTTTAGTCCAAACACTCAATTGATGGTTGTTTCCTCTGACCTTTGACCCTCATAGTATATGCTGACCCTCGCTACTGGCAGATGGAGCTCTTCCCCGGCCGAGGCCAGAACATCATCTGTGACGGATCGGCCTTTTAAAGTTCAGGCCGAACAAAGTGAAAGAGGACCGAGTGTAGGACTGAATGCTTGACTTCCTGCT